TCCAGTCAGTTGGCCAAGTGGTTGTTCTCCAGATTTCTTGGCACAACTTGGTGAGCACGTCCAGGGCAGCATCTGTTAGCTGAAATATGTCAATTGGTATACCATCTATTTCTGGGTCCTTATTTTTTGCTATTTCCTTCAAAACAGCCTGAACTTCTTCCTTCATCACCATAGGCTCTTGCTCAATGACTAAGGAGGATAGAAGGAGAATTGATGCCTTTGAGCTGGGGTGCTGGGGAAGAGTATTGAGGGTACCATGGACGGCTAGGAAAACAAACAGATTCATCCTGGAAAGGGTTAAACTGGACGGCTCCTTGCAGACAAGGATTCTGAGGCTTCATCTGACATACTTTGGACATGTTTTAAGGAGGGACCGGTCCTTGGAGAGGGACATCATGTTTGGTAGGGTGGAGGGACGGTGCAAGAGGGGAAGACCCTCTATGAGATGGATTGATTCAGTGACTGGGGTAATCGGGATGGGTGTATTGGGGACAGTGCGCCTGGCACAGGACAGAGCAGAGTTTAGGGCTGTTGTACATCGGGTTGCTATGAGTCGCAAGCGACTCATCGGCATATAACAACAACAACATAAACCCCACAGAAGATTGTTTCTTTTTCTCCTGTAAATCCACTGCTGGATTTGAACCGCATACCTTTGTATTGACAGTGTAACTCCTTACCACTAGGCCATCAGAGCTCCCTTCATAAATAATGAGTGCCATAATTTTAAAAGACATGTAACATTCCCCTGTGTGAGGAGGGGTTCAACAAACCAAGCATGTTCATGTTTATTGCTGCCTTGTTCACAATAGCAAACAGTTGGAAACAACCCAAGTGCCCATTAATAAGCGACTGGATAGAGAAGCTGTGGTATATTCACATAATGGAATACTGCGGTGCATTGAAAAACAAGGAACTCATGCATTATTATACAAAATGGTTGACCCTGGAGGACATTATGCTGAGTGAAATATCTCAGTCACAAAAGAACAAATACTGTAAAGTGCCACTGTTGTAAAGTAGGACTGACATGGGGTTGGGTGGGAATCAAAGAAAAGAGAGGCTAAATAATGTGTACTTCATTGAAACAGATGAGGAAGAGAACTGTTTAAGAGAAATATATGATTAGGCATTATTGTCATGACAAGAGTCCAGAATGAAAGCTGCATAGTGGAGTGGACTGGGGTGAGAGAGGATTGTATAACAATGAAAGATTTAATTTATTATTTATTTATTATTAATTAATGCTTAAATAAACAAACATACATACAATCTCATGAGAAAAATTTTACTCTCTCCTAGCATTTTTCTTCTAGATCTGTCAAGATTCTGCTTAGAAAAACTGTAGAAAAGATGCTTAACTTTCTACAGGAGCCCTTGATTAAAAAATTAAGCTTAACTGTATATTCTTTTCCTTTCATGTGGCCTTGGGCCATTCCATAAAGACTTAGTTTCTTACTAGGTATTATCAACTTCTTTAATTTTCAAACTTAAAAAATATCTTTAGCTTGTTACTGAACATTTTTAGATTTCTGATTTAAAAACTTCTATATTATTTTTAGGTCATGAATTTACTAACAACATGATAATGGCGTTATTATTTTAAAATAATGCTTACCGGAATTCTAGAGAGATTGGCATTAGAAACTATGTTGTGGTGGGAGATGGTTTTGGAGGATGGTCATTCGTTCATAGTGATGAACAAAGTTCTATTTTCATTATTCACTCTCACATACCAAGTTTCTTACTGTAATTAGAGATCATAAAACAAGAAGATCAAACATATCTTCAACAAACATGACAATTTCCACACCATATTGAACTTTTCATATTGTTCGACTTTGTTACCTAAGAAAGAAAATTCCTCAAGTCACTAAGGAGTCCTAGACTTATCAGAAGTCAGTCTTTATTTTGATAGCAATTCAAACAATCATGGAATATAATGATATATTTTAATTTATGAAAACATAAAGGTACATTCACAATTAGTAAAGTTTTATTACAGTAACATTCTAGGAAATATTAGGAATATTACTGTATAAAATTTTCCAATATTAAATATTACTTTAAAGGGATATGTCATAGATTGATATTTTAGGAGTTTTGTTTTATAGTAATTTTGTTTATATTTTACACATGCTCCTCTTTTTTCACTGATCAGTTTGATTTGTTTCATTTTCATCTTATCTGTTTTAATAAAATCTTGCTTCTCTTTATCTTGTATAAAAAGCAAGCATACAATACAGATGACAAGCCTTCACATATTAACATTTCACCTTGAAAACTATTCATGTTATTTCTCAAGCATATTCTAAGATGAAATTACAACAATGCTTGGATCCTGTTTTTCAGAAACATTTCTCAGTCTTTTCATATGTTCATCAGACTCTTAACAGTTTCTATAAGATTATTTTGGGAATTAGATCCATAATATTAGTAAGAGTTTGACTTCTGTTAATTATACAGTTTAGATAACTGGAAAGAACATCAGGATATCTTATCCACCCCTGGAACATATTTAATACAGCATAACTCAAGTAAGGCTACACATATAGCAACAAATGACTCCCTGTACTGTATTTTTCACTTTGTTTTGTGTTTCAATTGATTTTAGAGAGGGAGATGATTTATTCTATTAAGGCTGAGTTTATAAATAAAATACACTAGTGTACGTGCTGTATAAACAGGTAAGAGAATGACCACATTTATGAGAAAATCATTTAATATTCTCTGGGTCCAGATCTCTCTCCCATTTGACATAATCTTCTAGAGAGATTTCTTACCTAAATTTGTTTCTGTTTCCCTTAATTTAGATACTTTTCTTCATTCTCTATATAAATCTCTGACATTCTGGTATGAATGATTTTATCAGATAATCTTCCTTGGATAACTTAGGGGGAAAAGATAAATTTGGAGAGACAAAATAAATTTCATCTAATTTTCAGTTTTATTCAGAATTGGTTTTAGACTATCAATTTATACAAAGGAGAATCTGCTAATTCTTAAGCACTTCAAAGTAATAAAATGCATCAATGTCCCTGAGTTACTATATGTAATCCAAAATATTCCTACTGAATACTGAAGGTATTCAGCAGGAGAAAGCTGACTGTTAATGTATCATTCTTCTCTTTTAAGGTATACTTAAAGTTGTTAAAAATCTAGAAGCAAATAATTTTTTTAGGACTTTTTTCTGTAAGATGAGTTAGTGGGCTGCTTTTGTCAATGCTTCCCTGAAAAGTGGCATTACCATCTTCTGTTAGTAATTAGTGTATTCTAGATACTAAGTTTGATTTTTCCCTAAACTGTAAAGGTAAAAATGTATTTTTTTTTAAATGTAGTGTGTGTGTGTGTGTGTGTGTGTGTGTGTGTGTGTAGTCCACAGTGAGCTGCATTGCTTACCCAAAAGTTATGTATCACTCAGGAAGTTTGAATCAACAAGCACCAATAAGGAAGAAAGATGGACAGTCTCCATACCTTGCCATTTCAAGCAGTGGAAACTTGATAGAGGGTCATTCAGTTGGAACTGACTCAATGGCAGTGAATGAGTGACTCAATCTATAAACTTTCCCACTCTGTAGATTATGATAGGAGCTTCTTTTTCATTCTTTCTAAGTTTCTAAGTTCCAGTTATATACATTTGTGTTGTGGTGTGGTTATTAGGTGCTGTTGAGTAGGAATCAGTTTATTGCTGAACCTTCAGTGGGTATTCAGAGGTTGTAAATCTCAAGAGAGAAGAATGCTCATCTCTGTGGTAAAACAGCTGGTGAATTCGAACCACATGCCTTAGGGTTGGCAGTGAAACACCTTATTATCAACCCACCAGAGCTCCCTATAATAATTTTGTAGTAACTATTAATAATAGTATAAAATATCTCTTTGTACTTTACTCTTCTTTACTCCATTTGTTAAATTACTGAATTTCTTCTAAGAAATGAAGGAGTATTTATGGCTCGGTGGATGAGTCCTAGGCTGCAGTTTGAAATCATTAGATGTGGTAGAATATGTGACAACATGCTTCTGTAAAGATTGTAGCCTTGGAAACCTACAGGGGATTTCTAATCAGTCCTATAGCGTCACTGTGAGTCAGAATCAACTTGATGGCAACAGGCTAGCTAGGCAGAAAATATTATAATGGAGCACAAAAATGAGTAAGAAATGCTTCTTAAAAAGAAAGAATGAAAGAACAAAAGAGAGAAAAAGAAAGAAAGAAAGAAAGAAAGAAAGAAAGAAAGAAAGAAAGAAAGAAAGAAAGAAAGAAAAAGAAAGAAGGAAGGAAGAAAGGAAGGAAGGAAGAAAAGTACTTCACTTTGAGAAATGTAATAAATTATTTCATGGTGCTCATAAGCATATTATATTTGATACTCAAAAGGATCTTGTAAGATATTATCCCTTAGATTGACTAATAAAGAATGAAACTCAGAGAAGTTTAACCCCTTGCCTGATCTAACTCTACTGTTGGAGAATACATGGCATAGGTTCTATATAAATAATTCTAAAGCTTGTATTCTACATGATAATATTTTATCACTCTGTTTTAAAAAATAGCATAATCCACATGCTTTAATCACTTTCATGTCTAGATCCTTGTTTCCATTCTCAATTTGTTCTAAGTACATTTGAAAGCATTGCAGAAACAAAAAGAAGAGATCCAAAATGTACTTTGTCATACATACACAGAAATGTATGTTTTTCTCAGGATATATTTAAGTTCTTTTCACCTTGGAATGTGATTCTGTAAGTGCTTAGACTCATAATCTGATTACTCATATGCAGCTTTTGTGTTACATCTTTTTGTGTTGTCTTACATCTTTTGTTCCTTTTTTCTCTTTCCCTAGGTCAGCTGGTATTCTTGGTTGGAAAAGAGGAAATGACTCTAATGTGTCAGAATTTGTTCTTCTGGGCCTTTCTTCATCTTGGGAGCTGCAGCTGTTCCTCTTCTTACTATTTGTGATGTTTTACATGGCTATTGTCCTAGGAAACCTCCTTATAGTAGTGACAGTGCAAGCCGATGCCTACCTGCTCCAGTCTCCTATGTACTATTTTCTGGGCCATCTTTCCTTCATTGACTTATGCTTGAGCTGTGTTACTGTGCCTAAGATGTTAGGGGACTTTCTAAGTCAAGGAAAAACCATCTCTTTTTCAGGATGTGTGACCCAGATTTACTTCCTCCACTTTCTGGGAGCCAGTGAGATGTTCCTGTTGACAGTCATGGCCTATGATAGGTATGTTGCCATCTGTAACCCTTTGCACTACCTGACTGTCATGAACCGCCAGTTATGTCATCAATTGGTTTTTGCCTGTTGGTGTGGTGGTTTTATTCACTCCATCACACAGGTCATACTGGTCATCCAACTACCCTTCTGTGGGCCCAATGAATTGGACAATTTCTACTGTGATGTCCCACAGGTCATCAAGCTGGCCTGCATGGACACCTATGTGGTAGAAGTACTGATGGTCTCCAATAGTGGTTTGCTATCTCTCGTCTGCTTCTTGATCTTGCTGTGCTCCTACGCTGTCATCCTGATGACGCTGAGAACTCGCTTCCGCCAGGGGCAGAGCAAAGCACTCTCTACCTGTGCCTCTCACCTAACAGTAGTCAGCCTGATCTTTGTGCCATGTGTTTTCATTTACCTGAGGCCTTTCTGCAGCTTCTCTGTAGATAAGATATTCTCTGTGTTCTATACAGTGATTACACCTATGCTGAACCCTCTCATCTACACACTCAGAAATGCTGATATGAAGAAAGCTATGCAGAAGTTGAGGAAAAAGCATGTGACATTTTGTTGCCACAATGAAGAATGAATAGGAAGAGATAACTTAGAAAGCATAATTTCTTGGGGTTTTTTAAACTCAGTATGTACCAGAAAATTAGCAAATGAGTGAAGAACAATTTGATGACTTTGAGATAAAAAGAGAACATAGCTGAAAAATTATAATACATTACTCCTAAATATAATTGAGAGGCAAAGGTGGCTTCCCTAGGTGTCAAAACTTAAGCAAGAAATTCAGCAGCATTTACTGGACAATGAATGATAACAAGAATTAGTTGATTGCTACAGTCTATTTTGTCTATATTTGTCTATATAATTGTTTTCAAGTAAAAGAAGACATTGCACCTCCATTCATGGATGCTTCAATAAGAGATGCAGCCACTAAGTGTCAGAAAGTGCCTTTTAATGTCTCATTGGAGTTTCTTCTGAAGCATGCAAATTCCTTTGCCCTGTTTCAACAGATCCTGGAAACACCACCAACTACTCTACATATTAGAGTGCACCAAGCAACGGTATTCTATATTGTGCCAAATTTTAGAAATTCATTAGGTAACTTACTTGAATGAACATATCCTCTTAACAGAGTTTACATGTGATAGAAAGGAATTCTTGGGGTCCTTGGATGATAGAAACTATAAGTATTCTTTTCCAGGGGACACCTTAAAGAAATAAGAGGGCACTTTACTTCACGTTGAGTTTTTTCTTGAGTAACATTATATTTGATTAACTATTTAACTGATCATAATGGGTAAATGATCTAATTTGAAGGAAAACAGAAAGTAGGAAAAAAAGTTGTAGACGTAAAGCATTCATCCACCTGATCCCTAGTTGTTCATAGTTATTACTACTGAGTCTCAAAAATTACTTTGAGGAGTCAGTACTATTCTTTAACTTCATTGCTGTAAATAAATTTGTAGTTGTTGAGTGACCTGCTTGGGATTGATTTAAAAAATGTAATCAATCAATGTAATCAGTAATTTTAGAAGGAAGAACAAACATATTTTACTCTCTAGAAATAACATTTATATAAATTACGTGGACAAATTGATTTATTTTTATTCCATTTGTGTTTTAAAAAAACACTACTATTTTTTTTGTCAACATATCACACACCACTATTTACTTCAAGAAATTTTCTTATTTACAGGAATATTTTATGTATCAGTGATTATTTTAGTATTATATTTATTTAAAAGGTTTTCCAAGTCTCACCCTTTTCATGGTGGTAAAAACATAAACAACAACAATACAACAATTTTATGTGTGTAAGTCAGTGACGTTGATTATATTCTTCAGGTTATGCAACCATTCTTTTTTGTAAAAATAATTTTAATGAGCATTTACAGAGATTTTGGATTTCCATTCATTAAAAACACTACTATTAAAGTTTATTCTGACTCACAGTGGCTCTTCATTGGATTTCCTAGGGTGTACATTTTTATCAGAGGAGAATGCTGTCTTTCTTAGACCACTGACTGTTTTGGTTAACAGCTGGAAATGTTTAACATGTGTGTTTTGTTTCATACCTTTGAATCAGACTTGTCTCATAACTGACCGCTAGCAGGTTTTCAAATATCACTGGAGGAGATTTCCCATGTTTTTCTGCAGAGAAGCTGGTCGATGTGAACTATGTGCCTTTGGACTGACAGTGCAGCTCCTTACATTAAAACTCCAACATACAGGAGTTTCAAAAAACTGAAAATCATACTTATTGCTGTTGCATTGATTCCAAATCGTGGAGTCCCCTTAGAATAGAGAAATATCGCATAATGTTTTCTAGACTGTACATTTTTATAGAAGCAGACTGCCATTCTTTTTTTCTGTGGAGTAATGGGTGGGTTTCAACTGACTGCCTTTTGGTTAGCATTTGAACTGTAACTACTGCACCACTGGGACTTCCAGAGTTATGATATTTCTGAAAACAGTTCACTTCAATATTTATATTTAAAGTTATTTATTTTGAAAGGGAGCTCTGGTGACCTAGTGGTGAGAAGCTGTACTGCAACTGTGAAGGCACGTGGTTCTAATTCACCAGATGTTTCGCTGGAGAGAAGGGGCAATCTCCTCTAGTGCCAGCTGGATCTCACTTGATGGTTTACAAGGAAAAATAAAATGCAGTTATTTATTTCTAACATACTAGTACTTGCAAATTTTCATGGATATAGAAAATATATTGATTCTATTTACTGAATAAAAATATAATAGTCAACTTTGTGGAAGAAGGATGGACAATCTGAAAACTTGTTGAAGGGTCAGCTGTGGGTTGGTTCCAACAACAGCCAACTTTTGCTAATTTTTATATTGTGTGTACTTGTCCAGTCATAACTGACCCAGAGCTGACTTTATTTCCAAATTTAGAGAGGTATTTTCTAATAAACTAGCTGAAAATTCTCAGGGGAAAAAATAATAAAAATCTATCCATTAGTAGGGTACACTGAGTAATTTGCAATGTACTTAATTATGTGAGAGCTTTCTTTAATGTTGTACCAAGAATAGAAATTATCTTTCTGTGCTTGGAGTTAATGACTTTTTTTAAAAGAAATTTTATGTCTGTCTACCTGCGTATGGAAGAACTTTTTATAGGCCAAGAAGAAGGGTTATTTATAAATAGCATGAAATGCTCCCCTTTCTTCTTTATTTCTCAACGTTTCATAGGATTCCTGGGATTATAATATGCATCTTCTATGTCTCAAAAGTGGAGAAGTAAGTATAATCTTCTCTGGTGCAATTTATTGGTTCTAAAAACCCAGTGGAGGATCAGTTTTGAGTTGGTTCTAACTTGACAGCACACAGCAACATCATCATCATTTCTAGAAAAACAGAAACCAGGAAACTGCCAATTAAAGAATGATGTGTGCTAGCCAGGTGTATTGCTGACACATGAAGCTCCAGGCTTTCTTTAAGATCATCTGAGTGCGGCACCCTTAATTTCTGAAACTCCCTTGCAAACAAAGTTCTTGGAAAATAATTTTGAATGTCCTGTTAATAACTGAAATGGCAACATTATGTAAAAGAAATAAAATAATTTATGTATTTTCTTCTGCATTTTCAAGATTACACTTTTCTCTAACCAACTTTCTTTATTAATATAATTGGTAAAGTTTCTGTTTTGCCGACAGTACTGCTATTGTTTGGATGTCGGTGGCTCTAGAGTTCTCCTTTCAAATGTCCTAATCCTATTTTTGGGTCTTCCTGGACTTCTTTGAGGCAGTTCTCTGGAGGGTGGACCATCCCACTAGTGTGTGCACTTTAACTTGGAGGATGCCTTAGTGACTCTGTGTGGGAAGTGTGTGATCAAAGCCTGGATGCTTGGCTGCAGAGTACATATTCATGCACAAGAAATTCTCATGGTGGAACATGAAACTAAGGGAATGAGAGCTGAGACCTAAGAGTCAAAAGCCTATTCCCCCCACAACCCCCCCCACCGCCCCATACCTTTTTCCTGGTGCAGAATGTAAAAAATATCTGAGAATTTTAAGAAATTTTATATTAATTTGCTTACAAAACTTATACATGGTGTTTCACACTATTCTTCATTCATCTTGAATTTCATACAACTCTTGCCATGCATTACGTTTCATAAAATTTATCACCATTTGGACCTTGCCCATCGTTACCCTGACTTTTCAGGTCCCCACTGGATCTTTCCCATTTCCTTCACCCGTTCCCTTCCTCCACCAAATTGTGAAACCCTGTGGTTTTGCCCCTACCCATCCTCACGCCTCTGCTCACTTGGGTCCCCGTACATGTTTTACTAGTTATCCTTCTATTTTAACAATGGTCCTATGCAGTATTTGTCCTTATGAGGATGAGTTCATTCACTCAGCTCTCCAGTCTCTCCCAAGTTATGTAGCATTTTTCAAAATTGTTGCTCATGAGTGGTGCAAAGTATTCCATTGTGTGTATGTACCACACAATTTTTCAATCCATTCAGTTGTGGTTGGACATTTGGGTTGTTTCCATGTTTTTGTGATGGCTAGTAATTCTGCTATGAATATTGATGTACAAATCTCTATTTGTGTCTCAGTTCTAGTTTCCTTGGGGTATATTCCTAGTAGTGGGATAACTGGGTTATATCGAGTTTTTATGTTCAACTTTTTGAGAAAATGTCAAACTGCCTTCCAGAATGGTTGTACCATTTTACAATCCCACCAACAGTGTGTGAGAGAGTTCCCTACCTCTTCACATCCTCTCCAACATTTATTGCTTGCTGCCCTACCAAGCTTTGCCACTGTTACTGTGGTGAGGTAGTATCTCATCATGGTTTTGATTTGCATCTCTCTTATGTCCAATGAAAATCTGAGAATTATTAATTTGAAATTGACCTTCACTATTTGTGAGAGAGTATGAGTACATATTAAATTTTCTTACCTTGCCTTACAATTTTTAAGTATTTAGACACATGTTCTATGGGCATAATTTTTACTCTGGGTTCCACGAATATTGGCTCCTTTTTTCCAGGATCAGTGACAATTTGGTGAATTTGGCTTCTTTTTTTCCAGGATCAGTGACAATTTGGGATGTTAATATAACTGAAAAGAGAGGAAAACTAGTATGATTCATGTAATCATAATAGGATGTATTGATTTAATATTTCGAGAACACTAGTGTAAGCATATTTTTGTCCTAGCTCCAAAATATACATTTTCAATGGACTAATAAGTTTATATGAGCTAGGCAAATCTACTCTTCCTTTCCTTTACTTTTATGCCAAATTTCTCCTTCTAAGAGCCCTAAAAATGCAAAGATATTAGAGAGAAACCACCATACTATCCCAACATTTATTCTCTAATAATTCCTGGTGATTCTGGTTCCAGAAAAAAAGAAAAATCTCTGCAGGTCAGTGGAAACCTGCTCAGAGTAGATCTTCCAGGGGATTTTCAGGAGGCTGTAAATCACATGTCAGGATATTTCCCATCTTTCTCCTACAAAGCCATTGATAGATTTGGAACCCCAGAAAGGCCTTGCTTTTGAGTTAGCAGCAAAACTGTTTACAGACTTTGCCTCCAAAACTTCCTTGTAATAATCATT